TATAAGACAGAGACAGAGATTCAGCAGGCCTTCTGTGGAAAGTTGTTACACCCTCAGAAATATGCAAACTGAGCACATAAAGTTTTATAGAGGGCACAGGCAATGCTTACATTTAAATAATTAGCAGGTCACGTGTACCGACCACGCTGTCACATCTAAATCGCTAAGGACTCAGGTAAAAATGTACCCTCGGACTAAGTGCAGAATCAGCACGAATGACAGCAGTCATGACACAAAGGGCCAGATTTAATAAACTGCTTCTGCCTATTTCAGACGTGCCACAAAACCTGCATGTGTCTATGTCTGTGTTATTTATCAGACAGGTGCACTGGCCTGGAAGTGCAGTTGTCATCTGAGGTGCATCTTGTGTGAAATAAGTGTGCCTCTATCCATTGAGGTAGGGTTACAGAAATGACATTAGCATATTTAACATTTGCTGCAAGTTTGTACGGTTTGTGAGAGTCTTTTTTTCTGTGGAATATTCTGTGGCTCTAAAAGACAGGGGCAATTTCGTGCAGGTAATAAAAGAAGATTGAATTGTGGAAATTGAATTAGTTAAAAACACAGCTTCTTTAAAAGAAAAAGAAGCCGTAATAATAATTAAAAAACTCAACATGACTAAACATAATTTTCGACAACCATTCATCTGATCGACTTGCCGAGTGTATTGTTGAGGACCCGTGAAAGTGCAGTGTCGAGCATGAGCCCTTAAGATCTACGAGACAAATATTTATTAGTAGTGCATTCTTTCACCAGACGTACACACTATGGTGTGCTGAGAGAGGACCCCTATTAACTATTACACAGCATGCTGGGTACAGCTTTTACTCCGTCGTTGCTACAGTTTATCTGTATGTGTATAAATGTATGTGTGTATGCAAGTAGCAATACTGGAGGCCAAGCATTCAGTCTATTCTGAACAGGCACACTTTGAAAGGGCACTGCAATAGTTAACCTAATTTGATCTTGGCAACCACTGAGCTGCTGCAGCACTATGTTGATTGCACTCCTTTGATAAAAGTTTAGCATTTATCTTGGACTTCAGAGAGACATCAGCCATATCAGTGCCCAAAAACGACACACACAACTGACACTGTTAGTTTGAACCTTGCTTTTAACCTATAGCATAGACATTGTTGGTCATTGTTCATCCTCTTCTTCTGATATATCCTGTCAATATAGAAATATTGCGCGTTATTTCACGAAAACAGACCTAACAAATATGCTAAGATAATGAAATGTCTTACACTGTGTTGTTTTAGACACTGTCTGGGCCAAAAGCAAGCCTGCTGTTTGTCTTTGTGTTGGGTAAAAGTAATTTAGCCTCTGGCAGGAAAATGTGTCATCAGGAGAAAAAAAAAAAATACATGAATAGCTTAGAATGTGTGTGCAAAGTGCATGCAATTTTGTTAGAAAAGAAGGACTGACAACAGGATCTGCTTGAGCATTTACCCTCTGTTATTGTGAAAAGGGGACTTGACAACCTGTCATCTTCTACCCAACACCTATAATAACGCTGACAGCAGGGTCCAGGAAGTTGTGCCTTCGAGGACACTGTCAGTGTGTTTTTGTTGTTTGTTGGCCCAAAGCACAGAGTCTAGAGTAACTGAAACACCAGATTTGATTAAATCATCTGCAGAGCCAAAATAATCTATATATGTAATATTACTCATTTAATTCCATACCGAACCAGTCAGTCACATTATTCAGCTTTCAAAACATGATTGTAAATTATGCTGTTGATTGATGACTAAGGAGACGGCACATGGATTTACTAAAACCAAATTAAGACTCAGTGACTGAAATGAAATCATCCTGACAATCACTCAACAGAACTCAAACATTGAGCTTTGAGATTTGTTTGTCTTTGTGATTAAGCAGGGCTGTCAGGAAGCTTATAAGGCTTTTTAGATTTGAATGCCTGTTTGTTTGGGTCATTTCTTATTATAACATGTTTTGTAGTACATGCCGTAAGCTGACTTGTCAATCACATGCAGGCTGGATGTAAATGATGAAGTCACCTTGTTTCCAGCTATTTTCTGTCGCCACAACTAACTCAAAAGTGCACCAACTTACACACAAACACACAATGCACCCTACATACATTGCATAAGACTGATCTGCAACTTCAAATGAACCTGAATATTTACAAATCCCTCTGAAAGACACAAACACTGGCGATCATTAGAAAAACAACCCAAACACACATTTAAAATGTTTTCTTCCCTCTCTCCCTGTAGATACAAGACTATTGTGACTTTTCCTCACCGCAGGTCAGAGTCACAGCTGTTCATATAAAGCACTTTTGACATTTTGTCTTGCCCCCAAACCACATGATAACAGACTTTTTCTACTCTTTTGTCTGTGCCGCTTTGTGTGTCTTACCAGTGCATCACACAGTGCAAAGTATCCATTATCAGAGGACTGATTGTGGCTCATTGTTTCTCTTAGTCATAGAATAGCAAAAACGACTCTTGTCGAAAGCCTGCTCATTTCACCAGTGCACAATCATCCCCTTGTAATTATTGGCAAGACTGTTAAGGGAAACAGATGACGACCTGATGTTTGATGAGATTGATCAAATCAGTAACTGCAGAATACCACGGCTAATTTTACTCTTGTCAAAGAACAAATTAACATGTCTTTGTTATCTGTGAGTATAAAAACATAAGTCACAATTGATTATCATTCCTTTTTTGCTAATCATGGCACGCTTACCTTTCCAACAATATTAGGTTGTTTTACTAATATTGTAGCACACAATTCAGTTTTCTTTTCTGACAGTTTACCATAGTGCTTCAAACAACCCTACCATTAGATGGAAGACACTGCTTGATCAATGCAGTATTGACATGTATGTTGCCTCTGTGATTGGTGTAAGTGATTGACTGGCAAATATAAAGTGTTTCTTTGTTTGCTCAATTATCTGTAGCACCATGCTGTCAACCATATTGAATAAAGACTGTAGAGACTGTAAACACAATTGATTTTAATGACATTATAAGGTCACAGCCCACTGAATATTCTAGACGCTTAAACTTACGGATCTAGATTAATACATTTTTACTCCCAGGACCCTGTCTGTAGAATCTGATTATTATGCTTTATTAATTTTCTAACCAAGAGTCGAGTTTACATATCAGGTAAAGACTTTATACAGGAGAAATACTGCATATATTGAAGACTGAACATTTAACATTTTAAATACACTTGGTTTGTTCACCAAGTCCCAAGTAAATGAATAAAACCAATTCTTTAACTGCAGTTGGTGATTAAAGGAAGGAACAAGACAAGTTCGCTCACAACTATTTTATGCAGTGCTCAAAATGAGACCACAGGTACCCGAGAGGGGATGAGACAGGGAGTATATTTCTGTGCTCCCTTGCCTCAGGCTTGTTAAATTGGCAGATCGATGATGCTTTAAATCAATGTTCCAGCAACACCACAAACCCCATGGAACCCATTAGTGGATTAAGATAGACCACTGCTCCACACTGAGTCCGGTTCTGCCTGCAGGTCCTTTCCACATGACAAATGGGAGGAAAAACTGTGAAATAAAACAAAGAGAAAAGGGCAAACGAGAGGGTGAGAACAAAAGCTGTGGCAGAGGACAGGTTGACAGCAAAGGCTGGGATCTAAGGACACACCTGTAGATCTTCATTCAGAGACTCTATCTGTGGAGAGTTTTTTTTTTACTGTACATCAACAAGGGGTCTTATATCTAATCAACCAACGCGTTAAATAATTCCTTCCTGAACACGGGAGAACATCCAGCGAGCCATGAATAACATGCTCCACATGCAAAGTAGTCTGTCTCCACCAGTAAACTGAAAAAGGAACAGAGTAGGAAGGGATGTGAAGGTTGTAGGAGAGCAGATGAGAAAGAGGGGGTTTAGGGAGAGAATGCCAGGGGAGCTGGTCTTTCTCTGATAGCATTGTTTATGTGCCACTGTCTGTGGATTATTGATCCATTCGTCTTCATCACGTCTCCCTGTGAGAACTATTAACTGCTGCCACCCTCAGTTGGGTGCCTACTATGTTGACATGCAATGCACGGTCTCTACCACCCCACCAATGTCCCTGCGACCTCTCCTCTTGGAGGTAGAAGCTGACAGGTTTATACTGCTTGTTGGAGTACTTTTAAATTGGCATTTACTAGATTATTGTCTTAACCAGGTAGGTTGTCGATCATGGAGGGACAGGTAGATCTTACGACAACATGTAGTACATCACTGCCCTCTAAACAGCACATGTCTGGTGGGTTTCTGTTTGTTTCCACATGCTTTTTCCTGCAAGCTTCGTTTCTGACCCATATAATGTATGTTGCGTAATAATGAATCAAACATCCACCCACTCATGCTCATGAGAAGCATGGTTGCATCTTTGTAACAGAATTTAACATAGTATATGATCTTTAAGCACAGTCAGGAAATAAATCCCCATTGGTTTGTTAAAATGTGGAGACTGTTCGGGGATCCTCTGCTGAGTCCCTGCTTAATGCACTCATACCTACAAATGTCCCCCAAGAGAAATCCTGCTCCAATTCCTGTCTGAACTGTTACAATTGTCTATGCGAAGCATGTTGTGTTAGAACTGCCTCAGCCTAGTGAGACATCATGGGTCATCAGCAGCAGCTTGAACTGCACCCCATGACTCCAATCGACTGCCAAGATCACTTTCACCCTGCTGTGTCAACTCATAGCTTCCCTTCACTTGTGAAATCTGACAAGTTTGACTTGTACTTGTTGTACAGTGTTATTTTTGAGTAAATATGAGACAAGCTGACTGATAACTGCTTGATCTTTCTCTGTCCTCTGTCTGTATCTTTATTCCTTTTCTCCTTTCTGTGCCTATTTTCTATTTTTTTCCCCATAGAATCAACCACAAATCTGGCCATCATCCTCATCACTGCCTTGTTTGAGCCAGAGGAAAAGAAAAGACAGAGCATGGTCTGGTGTGGTGGCTGCTGTTGCTATGTGTGAAGGAGTGCTGTGGCGTCAATGGAGACCGAAGGCTATCGTGACCTCCTGGAGACCAGCGATGGTCAGGGGGTAGGCCTGCTGGATGGTGGGGGTGAGGTGGGGGTGGAGGAGGGCTGGAGCACTCCCTACCCTCTGGGCTTTCAGGTGTCTTTGACCACTGTGTTGATACTAGAACTGGTGTTGGGCTTCAGCAGCAACCTGACCGTACTTGTGCTCTACTGTGCTCAATCTAACCTGGTAGACTCAGTCAGCAACCTGGTCACAGTCAACCTCCATGTGCTGGACATACTGGTCTGTGTGCTGTGTCTGCCACTGACTGTAGCTGTGATCCTGCTACCAGCTAATGAAAGTGGAGTCAGCAGCCTGGCCACACTGTGCTGCTTTCACGAGGCCTGTGTCACATTTACCAGTGTGGCCACAGCAGTCAATGTGCTGGTGATCAGTTTGGATAGATATGACATCTCAGTGCGTCCAGCCAGTCGTCTGCTGACCCCCAGGCGTGCAGCACTGCTCCTGGCAGCAGTGTGGGCCGTGTCTTTGGCTGTCTTCTTCCTGCCCTTCCTTGAGGGGGACTTCTTCTCCTCTAGGGCTTTGAACAGTGAGGATGAAGAGCCAGAAGGGCAGAACAATGACTCTGTGCACACCACTGGACTGACCCCCATTTTTTCCTCCTTCTCTCCTTCCTCTTTACCCACAACTCATCCTTCCTCTCCTTCGCACCACCTGCCTCCAGTATGGCAGAACAGGACACTGCTGTGTGTAGGAGGGCAGGGTTATTACACAGGCTTGGCTATGTATTACCACTTGTTACTCCAAGTGCCATGCTTCTTCATTGCTGTGGTCGTCATGTTGTTCACCTACTCCAAGATCCTGCAGGCCCTCAACATTCGCATTGGCTCCCACATGATGAGGGGTACGCGTGCAAAGGACTCCACCTGCAGGATACGCTGCAGGAGGCGGAAGAGGAAGGACCTGAGCCTGCCCACAGAGGTAGTGTCCCCCACCCAGAACCAGAACCTCAACCATCCTCCTCTCATCCCCTCTCCCACCCCGACACCAACATCGCCACCACCACTCTCTTCAATGCCCCAGGGGATGTCTGACAGTGGAGCAACTGTCACCACTGTCAGTACTGCTGCCACCACCCCCATCGCCACTACTCCAGCCACACCTGCTTCTCCGACCCCAGCTTTAGCCTCAACCCACGCCACCTCACCACTGCCTGCCTCCTCCATGGGTGTACAGGCTTCGGTTTCTGCCATCATCGCTTTAAGGCGGGCAGTGCGCAGGCACAGGGACCGTCGAGAACGTCAACGTCGTGTTCTAAAAATGTCCCTAATTATCATATCCACCTTCCTGGGCTGCTGGGCCCCTCTGTCAGCAGTCAATGTTCTGATTCTGTGTCTGGGTCCCAGTGATGGCCTGGTGCGGCTGCGACTCTGCTTTCTGGCGATGGCTTATGGAACCACTATTTTTCATCCTCTGCTCTATGCTTTCACCAGGCAGAAGCTGCGCCGTGCCCTCAAAACACGTGTCAAGAAAAGGGTAGTGTCCCTTCTGCAGGTGGACCCTGCTCCCAGCGGGGGGACAGTTATTCATAACTCCTGGGTGGAGGGAGGAGGCCAGAGGAAGACTCGCAAGCCACGGGTAGAGGCCAGTGATGGCACTGATCGATGTCTCACAGAGGCAGTGAGGGAATGAGTTTGGTTCTCAGAGAGTGTTTGCATGTGTGAGTGTGTGTGTGTGTGTGTGTGTGTGACTTTGAAGTATTGTATGTATCTTACTAATTTGCTAGAGATGGATCATCATATTTGTGCATGGGTTTGGGAAAAATGAGAACCAGTTAGTTTACAAAGATCAAGACAAATCCCACGACCTCTGGTTTCATGTAGACATGGAGACAGGTGAGTCCTAAGCTCCAATTAGAGCCCTCTTTTGCTGTCCCTACACAGACGCTCATTAGTCCACTTTTTGACTGACAAGGTGGCCACTGTGTCTCCATGGCAACACTGGCCAAGCATTATGACAACAGCATAGCCATGGCTACTGAAAATACTAGTGTGCACCCAACAAGTAGGGCAAGCAAATGTATACATTGCTGCTCCTGCGTGCACTTTCAACTTGCATGTGCATGTACATATGCACAGATACACAGACGCAAGCACACACACACACACACTTGTCCACACTGATCTATATTAAGTCATTATCTGTGAAAGCACACCAATATCTACCTGCACAGATATTCTCAGTGAGAAAAATATTAATGGAAGTCTCTTGTTTTCCTTATTTTTTCATGCCTTAATTGAGTTATTAATATATTCTCATGATGCTGAATGTCCTGCTGTATGTTTACAACAATGAAGGAGTAGAGTGACAGTGTTTGCACATACTGTATATAGTAGAGTAAGTTAATGGCGGGTAAATGCAAGCATTCAGATTCAAAGTTTACAGGCTCATATTAAAACCACCAGGAAACTGCAAAAAAACTGATTCACATTTAATTTCCAGTAAGCACCATATTTTAAAAGAATGTGTGCAAGTTAAAGCTAAAAGGCATGACTTTATTTTCAATTATTTTTTAATAAGCTGTAAGAGTAACAGTCATGACTATGAAGGCAAGGATGTGTGATTGTGTTTGTACGTTTGCATGTGTGCATGTATGCGTAAATGGATAAATGAGTGTGAGTGCCGATGATTATGTGCAATAAATAATGAGCAAAGCAATGACCCCTAGGATGTGAACAAAGAGAATGTGAACACAGAATTGTTGGTTTTCAATTTATAGTTTAGATTACAGGGGGAAGAGAGGAAAGGGGACTTCATATTCTGATTAACAGCATTAGGCCACTGGGCATAATATAAAAGCAAATTACGTGGAGCAATTGTAACTACCCAGGCAACTGTAACACTGTAACATTGTATCACAGTTTTAAAGTGGAAATCAAAGGGCAACATTTTGTGAAAACTGTCTCTGTAGTAACTGCAGGTAAACTAACATCTTAAACCAGAGAAATCCCATGGACATTGGGACATCTCCTCATGTTAGCGAGTCACTGCTTTTGGACAGCACTCTGAATGACTGCAGAGGCAGACAGGCCTCTGTTAGCTTCTGGACGGAGTCCTGGACACATTACACTATATCTGTGTCTCTCTTTCTCCTCAGGGCTTCATGTCTCATTTCCAAATGTGCTGGACATAAAACAACAAACCAGCCCTCAATCAACTGTTGTATTATGGGTGTTACAGTAGCTAAAGATTTATGTCAGTAAGTAGATAGAGTACACTTTAAACTTTGTATGGGCTCAAGTCTTGGAGAGCTTCTTGGGATTTGGGCTTTCTCCTTCATCCTTACCCCTTTTACACTATTTGTGAGCCAGACAGAAGACAATAATTCTTGTGTATTCATGTGCATTTTTCAGGGATGTAAATATTAAAGTGTCTGTTTTGGTTTGGGTTTTAGTAAAAGAAAAAAAAAAAAAAAAAGAAGATGTTTTTTTTCTGGTCACAATCATCTGCCGGACAGAAAATCAGCCATTGTGATAAACTCTGAACGAGGTGGAAAGTTATTGTAAAGAGAAATAAGTGTATTTGTGTTAATACTGTATGTGTGTACATTGTACTGTACATTTATGACCATGTGTATAGAGAAATATTAGTACTGTATAAGATTTATATTATGTGTTATTATATAGAACAGAAGAGAATCTGTATTAAAAAGGTGATCTATCTAAGAATTGATCTATCTCAGTTCACTGTGTCAGTTCATAGATGTTTCATGTTCAATGTATTGATTGTTTTTCGATTTTCAAATACTGATTTCTACTTATTGAGAAATTTAAATATACAGAAAAAAATCTTTTACATGTGTCTGTGTAGATGCATTTTATCTGCTATATGAAGAGTATTTTAAATGGGAAATAACATATGTGGGCTATTTCCGTTTTCATGACATTTCAGACACTTGGAAATGAAAAAGAGAACAAAAGAGCAACACAAAAAAAGAATTGTATAGATTTACATGAAAAGACACATTGTTTGTCAATTTTACAGCCTGGAACATTTTCCTGCAACATGTAATGATTATAGACTTAGTATTCCAAGTCATTCATATAAAAGTGCAGACTGAAAGGTCAACCAACTTTCTGTACAAAGTGATGTCGCTGATCATTTGACTATTTAAGAATTGAATTACATTTTGTTATTATGAGTTAGTGCCCTTTACATAGAGGGTTATGTGGTCACTGGGCGTCCATCACAGATGCAGTTGTATTTCTACATTCTTAACAGAGAACTGCTTGGATTCCTTCTGCTTAGTGTAACTTGGGAATTCCTCCATCCTTCTTCCTCTGGACATTACTGTCTGAATTTGTCTCTTTTTTCCAGCTGTCCCTCTCTTCATCTCCCGTTTCCACTCCCCGTTTCTCTGATCCCTAAATATAGAAACTCTGTCCCAGATACTTGCGGTATTTAGTGCTGACTGTAGTGAACCCTCGCTGTGATGTGACAACTGTGCTAATCACCAGTACTAATGAAGATGAAACTTGTTAGTCAGGTAAGCATCTGTCGAGACAGCTCAATCTCTTGATGTTGACACTTCATTTTTTATTTTACCAGAACAAATCTGTCTGCGCATGTGGTGTGTGTGTGATAGCATTTGTTGCCTTACTGATTTGTGCATTGAATCAGCATTGTAGATTCCTCCATCCTGCTTGATAATCTCATCAGTCCCTTCCTCTTTCACACCCTCATTTCCTCCCTTGGTTCTCCTTCTCTTTATTCCACCCGTCTGCATCTCTCTCATCTCTTATCCACACTCAGGCCTTCCAGAACAAAGCGAGGAACAGCTGCAGTGTCTGTGAAGGAAGGAAAGTCACCTTGGGGGATGACAGAGGAACAAAAAACGTGAGGAAGAGATAGAGCAAGAGAGAGCAAGAGAGAGAGAGAGAGGCAATATGGAGGGGAGATTAGGGGGGAAAGAGAGAAGAGATGGGAGGCATGGCGTAGAAGCTGGCATCAGGACATCATATGACTAATAAAGGGACAGCACTGCATCACTGCAGAGCCCCATTTGGAGAAAAGAGAAAAAACACTAAGTGCAGAATGATAAGATTAACATGCTTCACTGTTTTCTACCACTGTTGGCCCAGTAGAGTCTTACAATATTGCTCCTGTCCATTATACTGTGAACACTTGGGTGTCATCCATAAGTCATAAGTCACAACAGACAACAAGTAAGTATTTATAGACTTCCCCTCTTTTGTGATTTATGGCAAAGTATTCAACCAGTAGTGACTTTGACAAATGTTTGGCCACTGTCTGAGCGAAGTAAAGGATGGGAATAAACAACAGCTAGCAGCTCTTTCACCTGATCCTATTGTACCTGCTGGACCTAGTGCTTGCAGAGGGCATCTGATATTATGCATATTTAATAGATTTTAATGTTATCTGATGCTGAGTTGATTAATCGATACAGATCCGATGTGTTCAAAAAGCACTCTACGTATTGTGAAATGTAAACTTCACAAGTGGCTGGAATGATCACAAAATACACTGCATTTAACATCATTACACCTATGATGATGAATTATTTTTATATATCTACATTATAAAGTATGTGTTAAGTTGCCTATATTAACTTTTCGTATAAAGTAAATGTTCGTGATTTTGTTTGTGGGAGCAAACAACTGGTAAATGAAACAACACCTTGATTTCATACACTGAACAACCATTCTTTAAATGCAAAGTAAGTAAAACTGGTTGAGATAGAGGCTTAAACTGATGTGCATCACAACTAGACATATAGTAAGGTAGGAACAGGACATGAGACTGAAGGAAAACGACATATATAAAATAAATTAATAAATTAAAAAAGAAATACATTATCCGAGGACAGAGGTCCACAGTGAACAGTATCAAGCAGTGTCAGACAGAAATGTTGTTTTATGGTCAACAATGGCGCCATCTTGTGTTCAAACGTCAGCTAGAACAACTGTAACATTTTGCTGTACACGATGAAATATAGGAGATTGTACTTTTATTACTTCACTGTTCTCCTCTTACTTGGTTGCTAATATCTTTATGTTTGCTTCCAAAATCAGGGTCCTGTTTAAACTTCTTTCGGTTTCTCCTCGGGTTTCTCTCCACCTTATTCAGGTCAACAGTGCTGTACAGCTAACGTTAGCTAGCCTCAGTAGAAAGCGTACTTTAACGTTATATAAAACGTTTTTACATACAACTTTGCAGGTATACTCTCCAAAATACCTTATTATTAATTATTACAAAAAGATTTTCATGTATCTGCTGTATGTGTGCGCCGAAATAGCTCAGTTGGGAGCAGCGTTAGACTGAAGATCTTCTAAAGGTCCCTGGTTCGACCTCCCGGTTTCGGCAGCAAATGTGAAACTATCTTTTTCCCGTTTTTATGCTACCGCTTCCAAACACGGTAAAACATGGAGCATTGCTTATTAGCTCAACTGATTGAAGTATGGTTGATAATCAGCTAACCTAATGTATATGTACTAAAACAAAAACGTATACAACGAAGGAAAAGTATTTTATAACATGTAAAATTCCACATTCAAAGCATAGAAAAGATGACTAAAAGCTGTACCTAGTTTAAAGTCCATACTAGCGTCAGCCGCAAAACTTACCCGAGCCAAGGTTGAGGATTAAAGATGAATGTGAAGAGAAAAAGTATTTTCACTGTTTACATTAACTTAGTGTATACCATTGTCAGTATACGTTATGGTATGTATCATAAGCAGCATTTAATTTAAGTGCACCAGGTGTTTTAAAGTAAAAATACACACAAATCTTAACAATTAGAGATTTTTGCTTTTAATTATTTCACTGCTATTGTGAATTGTTGAAGTTTTGTCTCTTGTGTTAGTGTTGCATTAGATTGCAGTATATCAGGGGGCAAAATATCATATTGAAGTCTCACAAAGGTGTTTTAATCGTTTGGTGATTTTTCTTAAATTACAGTGTTTTATGTTTTGCATGTTTTTTTTTATCTGTACAGAAATTGTGGAATAAGAAATAGCATTTCCTTCTGAAACATAGTTTAGTAGCTACTAGTAGCTAAATAAAGCAGGTAATAAGTAATGTAAAAGTACCTCATGCATGTACTTAAATAGTTTAATTTACCTTGTTCTCTATGTAGAATATTTTTATGTTTACAGTTAAATTTTCTCGTGTTCAGTGATAACACAATTACAGAAAACAATTATTCATACCAAAGCATAGACGGTCATGTATAAAACTAACATAAACTAAAACGGATCCAGTTCACATGGACGTTCACCAGGGAGCGATGTTGTCCAACATATCATTGGACTGGCGCTCATCCTAAAGATGAAATAAAATACAGTCTGCAGTTCATCTGAGGGCAGTTGACTTTGTTAGTTAGGACGTTTAAATAGTATAGATATTGAGCATTAAAAAGGTAAATTGTAGTTGTTGCTTAAAGCTAAATTATATTATTATTATATTATATATGGTGGAATAGATGTGAAATAGATATTAAACAATTATAGATTTTATGTGTTTTAAACAACAGTATAAACTTGACTATTGAATTGAATTTTTACTATTATTTCAGGTCATCCATGTCCACATTATATCTGTGCAAGAACAGAACATCTCTGTTCTGGAGAAAGGTTAGGGGGAAGTACGAAAGTATTAAACAAAAAATGTTTAGAAGTTGATTCCCGAGTTAAGTTTCTGAGCTATTTTCTGTTATAGCTGCATAATTAATCAAAATGGCAATATGGCCAGGTGCAGTTTCCAAATTGCAGAAGCTGCAATTTTTTGTTAAAGGTAAAATGTGTGACAAAACAATATTATGATGAAGTACTGCAGCGCTGAAGAGATTTCCTGGTCTACAAAATGTATTTCAGTGAAAATGAAAATTCCCACTAATCATAATATCTGTCAAAATAATTGCAATATGACTTTTTTACCATATCGATCGTGCAGCCCTTTTCTTGTATGTATTTTAAAGGTCCATCTAGTAATGGGCATTGAACATTAGCTTAAGATACGAATGCGTTAGTATGTAGCATTGTTTCTATATACTATATACTCAACAACAAGGCAAATGAAATTAGATGTAAAGATACTTTACTATAGCTTTATCTCAGCAGTTCTTAGATATAGAGACCTGAATGAGAAATATATTCCATGTTTTGAATGAATGTTTTCTCATTCAGTTTATTGAGACCAGTGGAAGGATAGGGGGGTGTTCAGTTGATCCTATCTCATATGCTGCTGTACAATGTAACCTGATCTGGCAACTCCAGTGGAGTAGTAATATGTATAAAGCCAAATTTGTGGTTATCTTGTAGCATTATGCTAATTTACCATTTACCTTCTTTACATTCACCTTGTTAATCATTTCTGAATGAAAATAACTTTCCAGAGCTGTACAATTTCACCTCAAAAGACTATAAACCTGCTATGTCTGAGTGTTTATTAATCCAATTGGACGCCCTGGTTATATTTCGTCTTCTACTCTGTGGGGACTTGCCCACACCAGCACAGCCCCTTACTAAGTGAGGGTTTAAAAGCACCTTCATCCCCAACAGTTTAATGCAAATGACTCACATTGACCATGTGACCTCATTGACTCTTGTGGGTTGTCATGGTGTGAATAACTCACACAGGTTAAATGCTGGGAATTCACCACCACTCACTGAAGAAACCTTTTGGACAAGTAGCAACATGTTTTTGAATTTTAGAATAGAAGTCCACAATGTTTATTGTTTGGACAGTTTTTGGTTTTTAAAATGGATTTATATGGAACAATATGGACTCCCACACACTGTCCTCTTCACTTGATTGATATTTTTCTTTATTTTTTTCCTCTAATGTCATATCCTCATTTTCCTTGTCTATGGACAGGTTATAGAGCTTTTTAAGATCCAACCATTTTTGAGCTTACACATAATTTATATCTTGGTTTGGTAGCTTTTCTTTATTTTGACATTTTTAAACATACTAATTCTGTATCATGGTCACATATTGTTTCAGGCTTTTTTGCTCTGATGTGATTATGTGTACTGTTTGATTCAGTGAATGATGTCAGTCTGCAGTCTGACCTGTTTGGTCTTGTTCCATATAATCCAATTAGTGATGTCAGTCTGTAATTTGGCCTGATTGACGCGGTTGGAAAATAGATAACTCGTTCAAGTTGAGAACCGGTTCCGAATTGTCCGATCAATTGTAATCTTTTGCCCCCAAGCTTTTTCAGTTCATTTCATAACCATTTATGCAGCTGGAAACCAGCTGGAGTCATGGCAGAGAGAAGGAAACGGTCCAAAGCGTGGTTTCATACCACATAGGAATATGACAACATTGCTAGTTGTATTATCTGTAAAATGATCTTTTCAAGTAAGGGTGGGGGAAAAAAGCCATATGCTGAAACATCTTTCTCTGCAACATGGGCTCAAATTCGAGGAATGCCATGTATTTAACACCCTATACAAGTGCCACAGCTTCCCTACTAAGCAGCACGTCCATTATCTCCATTACCAAGAGAGAATATCCTATGTTATAATAACATTAGCGCCTTGCAGGCAGGCTCAGCTGTTTTTTCTTTGACCAAGAAAAAGTCATGAAAACAAATACTGTACAAAGAACCAGTTCTAAATAAAACAGTGGAGCTTTTGCACACATGACTCTCAAGAATTCCTATTTTAGAAAACTGAATCAAAACTGGAAAAAACTGGAATCAAAAAGGGAATCGATGAAGGATTGCACCGATAAGCAGAATCAACAATTTCCTTGGTATCAGTAAAATCTTACCAATTCCCTACAGATTGATCCATCTATATTTAAGATATAGGTCTTTACCTTAATCTGGTAACTTAATAACTTGAGTACCAGTCTATACTTAAACATTTCTCTGAATGTAAGAGGACAGTGTGTGGAATCTTTTGATTCACAGGTGTTCAAAAGTTTTGCTGTTCCAAAAATTGGTTTATATGAAAGCAGCTGTGGTCCTCCCCTGCTGTGGGAAGGTGTGTGTGTGTGTAACTATATGCAGAGCTCAAATGAAGAATGAACAAATGTCATCATTTCATCATATCCCTCGTTTCACACGTATTTCGTATTATGTATTTCTCATCAGCAGCAACCTGACACTCCTCCTACAGCCAGTAATTCTCCCTCTCTGTTTACCCCTTTACTCTCTCTCTGCAATAGTTCCTTCTCTCTTGTGACGTCCTTAAACACATGTTGATCTTACGCCATGACTTTTGTCGTGGTTTTTTGTTTTTCATTATAGTTCTCATTATATATATATATATATATAGAAACATAGTAATTTGCCCAACTTTTGCAACACTAATCACAAACTAAACATTGGATTCAGAGTAAATGCTCTTCCACGACCTCCTCACTCTTTTACTGCCTGGGATCCATCCATCACATGTGTCTGTGTATTCTGACCTTTGTACACAGTAAACTTTTTTCATCTCTGTCTATACATTTTCACTTGTCTATTCCACGACTGTCGCTTGGCATGTGACAGTCAACCAGTTAAGATACCACTCCTTAGTTTCTTTATACACACCTATCCCAGGGAAGACTGAACCCGATGCACTCTAAACACGACACGTGTGATGTTTATTTTGTGTGTTTGTGAAGCAGACAGAAGGAGAGGCAGTGTTAGAACTTGTCTTCGATTTGAAGAATTGTTTACAACTATTCCTCTTTATTAAACACTATTTATGGGGTCTTTCCTCCAAAAGACAAAACATTAAGGAACCTTCATAAACAGGATTTTGTTTTTGTTTTTTTGTGTTTGTGCATGTTGATTTTCCCCTGAAACATGCCAAATTCATAACTCAACACAATATTATTTACCAGGAGACATGGAAGTAGCATGCTGTAAACGTATGCTTTGTTTTACGCAACTAACACATCACGTCACGTCACAAGTATAACTCCTAACATGTAATTAGTGTTATTATGTAACAGACCTTGGGATAAGACAGTGGTTGCAAAGGTCTGTCAGTCATTTATCCCAAACTATGATGTTCTTTTACAACCCAGCAAAACATAAAAAATTCACATTTTCTTGTATCATTAGCAATAATTATTTGATTGCTGCATCGACAGTTGAGGATTAAGTCATGTGTTCTGGTGTCTGGTAGCTGCATCATCTGGATTTAGCCCTAAAGTTGTTTTACAAATCCACTGTAAATCCAATGACACCGTGGTTTATGATTCAGATACAACTCACCTGTTTCACATCATTTTGACACTTTGTGGTCAGACAGAGGTTCTGAAGAGACTTAGTGCACTACTGTGTGTTAACCCTATCAGTGAGGCCTATTGAAGTGAGGCCTACAAACCTAGTGGTCTATCTCACTGTCAATAAACATATC